ACGTGTCGTTCACAACATCAACATACATCCGGATGCTGTTAGGTGATAATTTAGTTTATTTGAAAGCATGACCATTACTTATTCACCATTATTATAATCTCCATTCTGATTTGTACCTCAAACGTTGGATAGATAGCACATTCTCAGTGTCTTTCAAATGGATGCTCTGCAATCGGATCAAATCTCTTCGATAACGGTCATTATCGTTGATTTGCAAGGCTATTAATATTTATGGCTTCGTATATTCACCGAATTATTAATTAATATGATGGAGTCTATGTTGTATAATACGTTAATTATAGAGTGGCGTTAATCACATTCTCAGGCAATCCATTTGTACATTTCAAATTCAACGACTTCACGTATGGTAATAACACAGCGGTGATTCGTCATTTGAACACGTTACGTTCAATCAAAGGCACAACATCGACACATTTGGCCCTACATGAAGCTTACGATTTGTTCACGAATCGAGATGGAGACAGCGGTATGGTGATGTGGATGATCTCTAGGATTCATTCAGTCAATTTATTAGCCAATTGACGTTTCATTTGTGATTCGAAGTTGATTTCAACGCAAGTACATGACTCTGCAGTTGTCCTAAACTGAAACTCAAGCTCTGATTTAATGATCAGAAAACCAACGGTCACATGACAATAAATGCATCAACTTAAACTGAAAAAATGGCGAAAATCTCATGAAAACACATAGATATTTGTCCGAACCGGCAATCACCACACCATCAAATGCAATAACCAATACCCTAATACAATAAGTGATACTTGTTATAATAGATACCGTGCTGATGTATCATTGACTGCAGTTGAATTTCACAAGGATTTACTTGCAGTTCAGCACATAGCACAGCTTTTTTGCAGGTGCACGAGAAGGGGTACCGAAACTAGCCATTGTATTGACCGACGGTCATTCACAACGCTCTCCGAGAAATCTTGCGCAACGTCTTAAATCCGAAGGAGTTGAGATTTTAGCCGTTTCGATGACCCCAAGGCCATACGTAGATGAGCGTGAACTGTTGGGCATTACAGAAGATGCATCGAAAGTATTCACTCCATCCAATGTTCAGGTTATTTTGTAACTATTATCTAACTTGTAACTATAATATCTTTCATTAGATTCTCATCAAAATCTTACATTTCCTGCGATGTCATAAACGCAACGAATGGGGTAATTCTCAGGTGTTGATGAGGCCTGACTAATTGGAAAAAATGTTGAGCCTATGCGATAGTTTAGCAATTGAT